TGTGTGTGTGTGTGTGTGTGTGCTAGTGCGTGCGAGCGCAAAATGCCATCCAGAGGGCAGTGGGACGCACGCATCGCTCTCCATGACCTGGGCGACGATCTCCGAGCCAACACCGAACATGGGGTAGCCACCCTCGACGGTCATCAGGCGGCCGGTCTTCTTGACAGAGGCAATGATGGTGTCGATGTCCAGCGGGCGAATGGACCGGAGGTTGATGACCTCGGCATCGACGCCATACTCCTTGGCCAGGATCTCGGCGGCGGCCAGGCTGTCACCAACGGGCTTCGAATGGGCCACGATGGTGAGGTCCTTGCCGGCGCGCTCAATCTTGGCCTTGCCGATGGGCAGGACGAAGTCCTCGGACAGAACCTCCTCCGAAACCTCGAACGGGACACCGTACATGATCTCGTTCTCAAGGAAGACAACGGGGTTCGGGTCGCGCACGGCGGCCTTCAGCAGACCGCGGGCATCCTCCGAGTTCCAGGGGGACAGGACCTTGAGGCCGGGGATGGATCCATACCAGGCGGCGAAGCACTGGGAGTGCTGGGCACCGACACCGATGGCCGAGCCGTTCGGGCCACGGAAGACAATCGGGCACTCACCACGACCACCGGACATGTAGAGGGTCTTGCCGGCGGAGTTGACAATCTGGTCGATGGCCTGCATGGAGAAGTTGAAAGTCATGAACTCGCAAATGGGCTTCAGGCCACCGAAGCCAGCGCCGACAGCGATACCGGCGAAGCCCTGGGACAGTGGCATTCCATTACATGGTATGAGTGGGCGGGGGTGGGGGACAGCACACGTCAGAGGCCGCAAGCCCGAAGCCAGGGCGAGAAATATATATATGTTTGTAGATAGATAGATAGGCGGAGGAGGGGAGGGGCAAGAGGGATGTGCGAAAGGGCGAGGCGCAGGGCGGCCCCAAGGAGGGAGGGGGGAGAGGAAAAGAAAGAAGAAAAAAAAAGGGCAACGCACCATCTCAGTGATGGGGGTGTCGATGACGCGCTTCTCGCCGTACTTCTCAAGCAGACCGCGAGTGATCTTGTACGGGCCGTTGTACTGGGCAACCTCCTCACCGAGGATGAAGACCTTCTCGTCACGGGCGAGCTCCTCATCGAGGGCAGAGTTGAGGGCCTCGCGGACGGTGATGGTCTGAGCAGGCGACAGGGGCCCCGACAAAGGGCCCAGCAAAGGGATGTCAGTGGAAAGGGGGCGCGACACAGGAGGCGATGGCCGGACGGCAGCGCGGACAGGCGCACCTTGGCAGCGGAGGAGTAGGCGGCGCGCAGGGCGACGGAGCCCGAGCGGGCGGTCAGGGCACGAGTGGTGAGGGCAAACATGGCGGGCTGCGCAGGTGTGCGAGGGGAGGAGGAGGGGGGGGGAGGATCCTTCGGGCGAAAGGAGGCGAGAAGGGAGCCGGGGGAGGACTTGCTGGCGACACGCCCCCCGGCGCCCGGGCAGGGCCGGTCCTGACGCCGGCCGAAAAGCCAAATCCGTTGGTGTCGCGGAGATGAACTCTCTCCGGTCGCACAAACGGGAGAGGGCGAGAGCAGACCCCCTGGGCACTCCGGCCCCCCCCCCCCCCCCCCCCCCCCCCCCCCCCTTACACCGTGCCGGGGCAAAAGGGGTGCGGGGGGGGGGGGGGGGGGCGGGGACGACACCGAGGCGCCCCGCGCAGAGATGTGTGCAAAAAGGCGTACATGCGAATAAACGAGCAAGGACACTTGCGACGTAAGTTGGGATCAGCCCAGTTGTCAGCTGTTCTCGGGTGCCCCCCGCCTGGGCCCTGCCCCGTTGCCTGCCTGCCTGCCCCGTGCTCGTGCTGGGGCCAGGGACACGTTCAGTCGCTGAGCCTGGGGCTCTGAAGGGGGGGCGGGCGGGGGGTGATGCCCGGCCCTCTCTCCGTTGCCCAGGCTGGCCTCCACCATACCTCCCTTCGAGGAGCACCCCGTCCGTGCTTGGAGCCGGGCTAGCCCTCGCCCCGTTGCTCGAAGAGACAAGGGCGTGTCAATGCTAGAGACACGCGCGGGGACACATGCCAGCCCAGCAGGTTCTGTTCCGTTGGGTACGCACGACAAAAGCTGCTTGGCTGCACTCTAGCAAGGCGCCTGGTTGATGGAGGGCGGCCCGGGATGGCCAGGCCCAGGGGTTGCCCATTTGTCAGCCTCACTCTCGAGCCAGCAAAATGGGGTTCTGCTCTCTCTCTCTCTCTCTCTCTCCCTCTTTCTCTCTCTCCCTCTTTCTCTCTCTCCCTCTTTCTCTCTCTCCATCCGCCTCCCTGCGCCCCGCCTGCCTGGGAGCAGGCGCGCTTGCGAGGGCAGTCGCGTAGGAGGCAAGGGTTTTACCAAATCCACTGGCACCCTAAGGGTGGATAAATACTATTCCATGATCATGCCCCCGAATGCAGGGTGATCACAACCCCCAATCACTCCGGATTTTCTCACGGATTCTGCGGGGCCGCCATCTGTCCGGGTGGTTGCTCTTCTTAGCCAGGCTCAGAGCCTGTCCCAGAATCCTAGCCCTC